AGTAACGTAATAATATATATATATATATATATATATATATATATATATATATATATATATATATGTATATGTATGTATAGTTACATAAGTGAAGTATCATATAATTAGGTCAATACCAATAACATTCAAAATATAATTTTGTGTACATAAATTCACTCTTTTTAGACGTTATTTTCGATCCTAAGTATAGTTTCATAACTGAGTTATGAGAAAAATGATGTATACATAATTTTTATTCGTATTTTCATAAAATAATTAAAAGCACCTTTTTGAATTCATATTTAGGTCAAATAAGTATCCTTTTAAAAGCACCATTCTTTTCAAACTTTATTTCTAACACGGCCAAACTCATAGACAGATTTCTAAATTTATTGGGTTATTTTCCTCAGGTACCTCAACTACGTCATTTTCCTATTGAATCATTGAACCACTCATAATTTGTTCCTTTTAAATATTGTTGGCTGATTTTGATTGGTTTTTCTATTGTAAATGCCTTCAACTGTGTTCATATTATAATGACTTTGATTGAATGAATGAAGACAAACTGTGTGTCAGTCTCAATTATTTTCTAATGTGTTCAAATGACTTGAAGTAAAACACAATTATTCTCGAACATTTTCATTATCAATTGGACTAATAATGACTTCTGAAACAATATATATATCATCATCTATCAACACCCCTCACAAAATCTAATTCTGTATCAGTCAATAATATTTAAAATGAACAAATTATGAATGTTTCAATGATTTAATAAGAAAATACCGCAGTCAAAATACCTGAGGGAAATAACACAACAAATTCAGAGATCTATGATATATTCGACCTATCTAACACTAAGTAGTTATTCTATATCATGTCATATAGTTAGTCCATCAGTCCATGGAACTCAAAAAATCATAACAAAATAGCAATGAAATGGAAATGTAGTAGTTAGTCCACATTTAAAGATCCAAAATGCCTTTATATTAAAAGCATACTATATAATAAAATTCATCAATATTCTAGTAGTCTCTCTCTCATCAATACATGTAAGTATATATATATATATATATATATATGTATGTATGTATATATATACACATATATATATGTATGTATATATATATATGTGATATGATGAGAGTTTTCAGAAGAGTGAGGGGTCATATACTGTGTGTCTTGTCTAGGGTTGAAAATGACTAAAGCTTCTGCATACACTTACAAATCATGGCACTGAAAAACATGGCATTTTAATGAGCATTAAAATTGGAATAGTACTATTGATAAAGACACTAGAGTAATAATAATAATATGTCAAAAATAAAAAAATACATTAGTTTTTTAGTTCTATTTTCCAGCTTTTTCATATATTCATTGGTCCACAAAAAAATTAAATTAAATCTATTATATATAGCAAAGTGATTTTGGCTTCATGTTCTTGTGTGATATTGAATGTTATGAAATAGACTTTATAGAATACATAGCTTTAATCCTATTTCCAGCCTTTTTCTTGTACTCATCATTTGGTCCACCACTCAAGACCATATAATTGCCACGTGGCTTCTTATTTTTTTTATTTTTTTAATGAAAATTGACTTTTTTTAATTTCGAGACGACGATCTATCGAAAATAATTTTCATCTAACTAAAAATGGGGGCAGATAAGATTTGTGTATATCTCGCTTTTTTCAAATTTCATTTTTTGAAATTATGTTAGAATGTCTTGTTACTATTATCAGATTTTGAGACAAAAATCTATCAAAAATAATTTATTTTTAAAATCTAAAAATGCAGATAAATAAGATTTATGTACATTTCATGCTCTTTAAAGCTTACCTAATGAGGTTACACTTATATTGTTGACTATTAATTTGAATATCGCATTAGAGAGAATTTCTTCGTCTTTAAATAACTAGATGTCTGGATTTAAAATTTGAGTACGTGAGAAAAATCCTCATGAAAAGTGTTTCTCCATTGTTAAATCATATAAGCATAACAAATAACATAATCAATGTTTTACAAAAAGAAAAATTCTCAAATATTTAAGTAGATAATTAATATCCATTTCATAGTTATGTTTAGGTTAGTTCTTATGAATTGATCAATAATAAAAGAAAATTATCTTCAAAAACCTATCATCAAAGGCCTTGGAAGAGATCTTTAGACACCTTGAAAAAGATATGAAAACCACTTAATATATACTTTCAATTTAATCCATATGATAAATTAATGTTTCATTCTCATGAATTCAATGATTAAATACTTTAAATTCTTTCATCAAAGAATAGGTTTTATTCATATAAATCTTGAAATTAAACCATAATATCTTTTGAAAAAAAAGTAATATAATGAGATTCGATCAATTCAGATTAATTTATCGAATCTCTCAGATATTAGGGTTTTCAACATCAAGAGTAGATGCATATGTGAGAGATTACTAAAAACAAATATTAGACTCTTAAGCATATTCTAAATTTATATTTGCATATAATTAAACTAAACTAACAAATTGAAAAAATAGAATACATGTAGGGCAAGATTAAAAAAAAATTAAAATGATAAAAACCAACTTTATTCAACTAAAGTCTTACAATAAAACATAGTTTACATTGTTCACTCATATAAAAAATCAAAAACTTAACTAGCATTTTTCATCATAACCACCAAAAACTAATTATTTCAACTAAACTTGTTAAAAGAAAAAAAAAGCTACTAAATATTTTTCATCATCTTCTATAAATAGAAGATGACAAATAATAATTATTAGTCAAAGTAGCATCTTTTGATGATGACACACTTTGAAATTGTTTATTATTACAAGAACTACATTTTATTATCTTCATGACATGTGATGATGATGATGATGAAGCACAAACACTTTGTCTAATTTCCATTGCTTTTGCCATTTCAAGGTTGGCTAATTCAATCAAACACTTTGCTTCTTGTCTCTTCTCTATAGCCATTGCCTTTTCTTCCATTGCTATTTTGAGTATTTCATTTGCTTCACTTTTCAATCTTGTTACTTGTGTTGTTGCCTCTTCAATAATTTCTTTGACTTCAATATCATTGTTTTGGACTATGTAATTATTATTATGATGATGATGATCACTTTGATCAACAAATGATGAAAAATTGTGTGTGTTTTGGTTGAAATAATTTGGAGAAGTGAAAAGCTCAAGATCAAGATTAGGCAATATTTTTGAATATTGATCATGTGGTGGGATATGAGTTGTAGTAGTAGGCAAGAAAATTGGTTTTGGTATTTGCATATCATGACATTCTTTAGTAGTTGTACTTTGTGGTTTGCATGAATCTTGATGCTCAATAAATGTTTCAACTCTGAAAAAAAAAACACAATAAAAATGGGAGGAAAAAAAAAGTAGATTAATTAGAAGAAACATACTATATATAACTCAAATTTACTATCAGAAAATCGCTAATTTTTAATTAAAAATATTTCCAACAAATCTATCAGAATTTGACTCATATAATATCGTCGAAAATTAGTGATTTTCTGATAATAATATTCATGTTTTTAACTAAAAAGATAGTGATTTTTATAATCATATAGATAAGGAAGAAATTTTCAAATGTGAGCACACAAAATATGTTTGTACATTTACAAGACATATATATACATTAGGTTTTAGACCTAAAGGATGTTACCAATTCAAGTAACATGTGGTAATCTCATCTTGATATATGTGTATAATTTTTATATATAAGATAGTGTAAATTTACTTTTTACGCTATTAAGTCACTTAAAAGATTTTTATAAATTTAATTTATATCACTAAACAATGAATTAAACCTAATTCTATTTGACTACATAGAAATGACATTTTATAATGAGACAATCTTAGTAGATATAGACTATTTAGTTATAAATTAACCAGCTACGAATTTCATAGCTAATTCTTTAACGTTTTTTAGTAGTATATTTAATATAACCTAGATAATAAAGATACGCTGATGATAAAAATTACTATAACAATAACATATTTAGTGGAATCTGAATAGGACGTTGTAACCTTACTCCTATGAGGATAAATAGATTCTATTTTTTCTTATAGATTCTCGACTCAAGTAAAACAGAACACAGATATATAATTAAGAAGATGAATTTACCTAGAGAAAACTCTTCCACAATCACAAGAATGGCCTCTAGTACCACAAGTTTTGATGTGAGCTTTATAATCTGATTGAACAGCATAACCTTTGTTGCATTTTTGACAAATCCATTGTTTGTAATTGCTACGTTTTCTTCTAAAATGTTTTTTGATTCCAACAAGATCACCTAATGCATGACATGGATCATGGTGCACACAACTTGGCTCTGGACACACATATACTCTCTTCTTAATAACTTGATCCATCTCATTTTTCTCTTCTTCCTGATGATCACGTTGAAAATATAATCAAGTAAATGAAATTATATTTATATTTAATTAAAAAAATTAACATATCTAATCATATAATCTAATATGTCAGTTACAATTTATGTGACTATATTTAACTGGGGAGTGACGTCTAGAATTGAAAGACTTTTGAAAATTATTGTCGAAAACTAAGCCTTAGCAATTTGTGTGATTATTATAAATCATTTCAGTAAGAATAAACAGAGAAATTCTAAATATTAAAATGTATCGTTCTCGTAATAAAAAAGAAGAAGAAGAACTTCATGACTTGCACGTGAGGAGATGTGTTGAAATATAAAGTATAATTTAGTAAATAAAAATTGTATAGTTCTCATCAATATCTTTCTCGGTCTTGTGGCTAAGATCAAGTGTAACATCTGTTCTTATCAGATATATGAATTCTCCGTCTACACATGATATTAACTCATTTTTCAAAAAGGGGAAGACTCACTCCCTATTGAACGAATGAAGAACTTGTGTTCTATCGAACAGTTTAAGATTTTAGATGAGACGATATATTGATGACGTAATTATACATAAATTAAACTACCTTCTTCTTCAACTTCCATGGAACCTTATGGCGACGACGATGCATTTGTAGATTTTGCTCTCTTTGAAAGCTAAGGTTGCAGATTTCACAAACGTAACGATCAGATTCCATTAACATCTCAGCTGTAAGATATACAACTTGTGCATCGGGATCTGTGCAAATTCGTAAATTTAATTATTACGAGTTCAACAGAATTCAATAGCATTCTTACCAGTCGAATAACCCTAAACATATGTGTGTTAGCAATAGTAGCGGAGCCAGTAATTCAAATATAATTTTCACATCTAAATTTATTAGGTTAAGAAAATTTTAAAAAATTAAATCTATTAGGTTAAGAATTTTTTTTAAAAAATAAATATATAAAAATATAATTTTCTGACGAAAGGGGTTGTATCAACCAAACAATCTTTGTTACCTATAGCTCCGCCCTTGACTATAAAGATAAGGTTAAATCATAATTCAACTTTCTCATCTATAACGTTTAAATTCTGAATTCAAAAACACAAGGTCGGAGATAGAAAAAGCCAAAAGGAGGTTCATCTGAATTCTTTTCGTTACATCCTCATGAATCCTCTGATGAAAATTCTGTTTTCGTCACTGACTGAACATGTTGATCAATTTAGAAATATAATAGACACACAAGAGCTAAAACTCAAGTGTTTTTTCACATAATTATCAAAAAAAGTACCATTTTCTTCATATATTTATGTAAATTAATTTTTTTTTAAAAATATACTAATTAATTAATTAAAAATATATATATATACCTGGAGTACCAGCAGGTCTTCTTTTTCTTTTGATAATAAAACCATTTTCTGGGGAAGAAAATGGATCAGAATAATTAGAAGGAGCACCAAACAAGAAAGAGTTGCTAGTTAGCATAGAGAGAGAGAGAGAGAGAAAGAGATATATTCAATATGATGAAATATTGTTTTTTGCTTCTTAGCTTTTTGTATATAGATGGATAGATAAGGAGAACCAGTTAAATAACAAACCTAATATATATAGTACGATAATAATATATTCAGTATAATTATATATGTAGTACGATAATGATATATTTACTGTAAATTATACGACTGGTTGAAATATTTGTACCCTTAGAAAGGGTAGGTGTATACAATTTTATCCTTGCTAATATATAGTACGACAATAATATAGCAAGTGTAATCACACAATCATGTAGTAATATGTTCAGTGTAATTGCATAACTGAAATATGAAAACAGTAGGTGTATACAATTTTATCCTTGCTAATATATAGTACTACAATAATATAGCAAGTGTAATCACACAACTATGTTAGTAATATATTCAGTGTAATTGCACAACTGAAATTTGAAAACAGTAGGTGTATGCAATCTTAGCTTATAATTAACTGTCAATATATAGTACGACAATAATAAATTTAGTATAATCGAATGACTGGTTGAAATATGTGTACCCCTAGAAAGGGTAGGTCTATGTAATTTTATTTTGATCAATATATATAGTTTGATAATGATATACTCAGTGTAATAGCATAATTAAAATATGAATATAGTAGGTGTATGCAATCTTTTAAGTACTATCAATGTATAGTATTACAATAATGTATTCAGTATAATCGTATGACTTGCTAAGATGTATGCAATTTTATCCTTAACAATATATAGTACGATAATAATATGTTCAGTGTAATTGTACAATTGAAATGTAAAATTAGTGAGTGTATGCAATCTTATAGCTAGCATTATATATAGTACGACAATTATATATCTAGTATAACGGCACGACTGACCAAAATATGTGTACCAGTAAAAAGGGTAGATGTATGTAATTTTATTCTTACCAATATATAGTATGAAACTAACATATTTAGTACAATCAATGTCAGAGCAAGGAATTCCACAAAGAGTGTTCAAAAATAGCACGATAAAAGCTCTTTTCAAAAAATAAAACTAGTGAAATTCAAACAATACAAGCACCACTTCTTTAAAAGGAGGCGAAAACACTGGGCTACAATAACTTATTGTGTCAAGACTATCCAAAATATGTTATCAAATCATTTCATGTATCATTTAACTTGTATTTATAATATTTTTTTTCCGACAAAGGATATCCAATTGGACACTGAACATCATGTGGCTACACCACTGAGTATAATCATACGACTGACAAAAATACGTATATTCTTAGAAAGAGTAGGTATTGTGTGTATGCAATTTTATCCTTACCAATATATATAGTACGATAAGAATGAAATGCTTAAACTAGCAAACATCAATGTACTAAGGTAGAAAAGTATCTTACCAAAATAAAAATAAGAGTTCGATCTTAGAATTATACACTTTATAATTTTGTATTTTGATTTATTTATTATTAATTTTCAGAATTTATATTCATATACTTAATTGCTATTCATCAAAGAAATACTTTATAAGTCTTTAACATATAATACTGAGTTCGGAGCATAAAGGGTATAAAATATTAACAAAAATTCCAAAACGTTATATAAATTTTATATTAACCAAAACGGCAAAATCGCTGGAATAACAACGATTTCCTCCACCTGAAAAAGCAAAATATAATTTTTAAAAAAAAATTCAAATCGCTACCTAGGCAGCGAATTTCATTTTTTTTAGAAAATCTAGGCAACAATTTCCATTTTTAAAAACAAAAAAAAATGAAAAATTGCTGCCTAGGTAGCGATTTGAAATTTTTTCAAATGAAAATCACATTTTGTAAAATCGCTGCACTAGCAGCGATTTTGCTTTTTCCGGTGGAGGAAATCGTTGTTGTTCCAACAATTTTACCATTTTGGTTAATATAAAATTTTATATACGATTTTAAAAATTTTATTAATATTTTATACTCTTTAGGCTCCTGACTCATATAATACTCATTAACTAATTTTAATCACCTAATTCTAATTAATGGGTTCTTGATTTGATAAGCATGTTACCAATTATTCTAGATATTATATTATATATATTATATATCAATATAATCAATATATTAATTAAATAGAATTAATGAAAATGTTCTAAAGCAATTGAACTGTGTACATTTTTCAAGCCTATTGTATAGAAACTTAAACTCTATACATAAATAATACAATTCAATTAATTATAATAACTATAACTATTTTTTAAGTGATTCGATTATTTTAATTTTCTTATATTATTAATGTATAGAAGTAATAATATTTAATTTCAAAATTTATCTCACTTTTTTTTTTGAAAAATATATAAGTAGCACAAATATTTTTTGTATTAATTAGACGTACTAATTTGTACTCTAATGAGTGAAAATTCCCTTGAGATTTGACATTTGTACAAAGTACCTAAAATAGGACCAAACATCTTTTCTTATCTAAATGAAATAATCTTTTTTTAGATATACGAAATGTGGGAGCATGAGAAAATATTTTTGTACTTCTAATTTGTGAATAAAAAAATAATCTAAAAAAATATCGTCCTAAGTAATAGTTCATGTAATATATAAATTTAAATTTAATCAGACTTAATATAAATATTAAATATAAAAAAAAATCTAATATATATATATTAAACTTATTATTATTATTATTATTATTTATTTTATTTTATTTATTTTGGTAGTTGGGAAATCACTATTCACTAATTATAAAAAGCCAAAGAAGAAATGATTGTTTTGTACAAAATTGGTGAAAATGAGTCTTCTACTTTATTGGTTTCATATTCTGTCTATGTTATGAAGTTTCACGTGGTAGTTTTTATTACAAATTTATATTTATGTTGATAAGGTAAAAACAAATAGAATATTTATCGAAATTATTTTTCTAATTCATAAAAGTAAAATAAGGTGTAAGTAATAAAATTTTACTTTTTTTTGTATCTTAAATTAGTTGTTTAGTTTCTCTTTATATATATCTCAAAATATTATTAATAAAAAAATAATATTTTACTAATTTATTATAAGAAGTTTTTTACGATTAAGAAAAATAAAATCGAAAAAAAAGGTAAAATAAGAAAATTAATCCTTCCTTCATTTTTGTTCATATTTAACCTGACACCCTTTAAGAAGTAAAAAAATACATTGTAATTTTTCTATATCATCCTTTATAATAAATTCATGTCTTTGAAAAATTATTATAATTAATAATTAGAATAAACTAGAAATTAAGTGATAAATCTCTTAATTTTCGAAACTGAATATTTATTTTAATATAATGGATATAAGTAAAGATGAAAGGACGAGAATAACTTGTGACGATTATTTATAGAGGTAAATAAATAGATTAATTTTATTGATTTAACAGTTTATATCCAACAATTATTGATCTAATAATTAAACACAATAATTATTTATCACAAAACAGGTGTTGAATTATGTAAGAACTAATTAAGACAAGTCGAAATTGTTTTGTCAATTTTCATTTTCCTAATCTTTGTTTCATGATTAATATCATTTTTCATATGTAATTTAGCCTTGATAATGACTTGACTTATCTTGTTCAACAATTAAATAAATAAATTAAATGCTAATTAATTAATCTAACAACATAAACATAAAAATTGTCCCTATTTGGCTCTTTGGAACCAAACAATATCACATGAGACTTCAACTATTATTATTATTATTATTATAGAAATAAATTGATGTAACAAAACTCTTGAATTTTATTTCTTCGTCGACATCATATAATATATTTTTTAAGAAAATGTCACCAGAGCTCAATTAAAAAATTATTTAAAAAATAAATAAAAGATCTTTAATGATTTATTTTTGTAAAAATCGAGAATAAAGTTATTATTATATACGTATCAAACCATGAATTAGTAATTAATTTAAAGTTTGCAATTAGACTATCAGAGTTAGAAATTGACTTGTTAAAAATATTTTTGATAATTTTTTTTTGTTAAAAATCAAAAATATTTTGAGCGATGAAATAATTCTAAAGTGGCTCCGTCTCTATATCCAGATAGTCCTTCTAATTTATATGTTATGGAATAATTTTTTTTATGAGTATGTCAAAATATTAAACGATAAAAATACTATAGTACATTTAGTAGTAGTACAAATTTTGTTTTTAAAAATCGAAACATTAGCTCGTGGTTTCAAACAAAGCCTTAAATAAAAGTGAAGGACCAAGTTGCTGCAGGTGCAATTATAATCTATGTCTTGGATCTGAAAACATATCATTTGTTTGGATGTGAAAAATAAAAAAATAAAATAATAATAATAATAATAATTATTAATTAAAATAAAATAAAAATATAATACGATAAATATTCTAATAAAATAACAATTTGTATTGGTATGAATTGTGGGGCGTAGGGTTGAGATTTCGTTGTTCTTAATTAATTAGAAGTTTTGAATTAAAGCTTATGAGAATAGAAAAGAGATTTTGATAGGGGCATGATACTAGAAAAATGGATTCTGCAATATGCGAATGTGAATTTAGTTGAGCTTAGATTTTTACATATCGATATAAGTTGTGATAGGATAATTGAGACAGTTCCTTCAGCTTTAATAAAGATTTTGAATTCGAGCTCGAAATCCTGCTTGAAGCACCATCCAAGAAATGTACCATGTATACAAATTTAGTTTGAGCTCTATGTGTGGGGATATCAGATATGTGAGAAATAATTATAACAAAAAAAAAAGACGGTTGAGACGATCCCTCCACCTTTAACAAAAGATCTCGAATTTCAATTTAAATTTGTTTTTGGAATCTCCGAGCCCATAAATGAACTATGCAATATGCATACACAGATTTAGCTGAACTCAATGCGTGCGAATATCAAATATTTAATGAAAAATAATTATAACCAAGAAAATTGAATCGTACCAACGTGAAATATGATGAGATAGTTGAGATTCTTCTACTCTTAACCAGATATCTTATATTTATGCCCCAAAACCCTATTAGGATCGCTGCCCTAGAAATGAACCCTACAATACACAAGTTAAAATATAATCGAATTTTAAT